TTACCATTATTCTCATTCTATATTCCTGCAAGGTTTTATTAATTCTCCCACATACATAAACACACAGAACACAAAAATATAAGAGATCTTTTAGGAAAGTAACTTGGCCCCAGAAACCTCTCTCTACATGGACTTCAATTATATTCATGCTCATCTTACATGCCATTACCTATTTTATTTACCATTCTATATCTTCTAAATTAGCTTCTCCACACATTTCACTCTTCTTAATTCTATCTTATTTAATTCATTTTAATTTAAGTCATTATATTTGTATCTTTTGTCCATTCTTTATTATCCATTTGTCTCATTCCCTATAGTAAAAAGAAAAAAGAATTTCTCCTGAAATCACTAATCAGAGTATGATGCCTTTCTATCATCCCCCTAAATTAACATTTAAAATAACACCCAATACCCAATCTGATTCTGCTTGGTACATTCTATCTACTAATTTTTAAAAAGAAAAATAATAAATCCAAAATGATTAAATACATTACTAAACATTTCAATATTTTAATCTCTTATTAACTCTTAAACCATTCTAATTTTCTATTTCTAATACAAATGCTACAGTACCATCTTATGTACCTTGCAGAATCTTTTTTAAACAAATTATACATTACCCTTTGTCCCTAAAAAAGATTCCTCTTTTCCCATCTGGTTTCAAAGCTTTGTGGCTTTTCTCCACCTTTTCCCTTTCTTTCTTCTCCCACCAGGCCTTTCTACCCCCCCTTCTCCTAGCCTCTGCCTTGTTAGCTTCCCTTCTCTGTTGTGTTCCTTTTTTCTTTTGTTTTCTAGCATTATATTGATTTTGCATCTTATTTTTCTCTTTCTTGGGTGTTTTCTTAAATCTTAAGCCCTTCATTTTCCTTCCTCTCTTTCTCCTTTCTTTCTTAATTAAATTTTGAGATTCATTAAAGATGGCTTCTTCTTCTGCTGCTGCTGCTGCCTCCATCTGTTGTTGTGTTTGTTGATAGATAGCAAGCGCCATTTCTAAAAAGAGAAAAGCTTCCTTTACAGCGTCCTTGCCATCTCTTTTTGTTTGTTCATATTCTTTTCTCAGTTCCTCAACGGAAAAAGCCATTATAAATCTTTTCTTTTCTTTTTTTCCTCTTTCTTCTTACAACAACCAAGATGTTTCAAAAGTTAGAACAGTCCCAAAATCCCAAAGTCATCAATCAGTCCAAGCCAAAACAAAGTTCTCACTTTCTCTTCCTGGGGTAATATCAATCAAAAAAAGAAAAACCAAATCTGTATTTTAAAGCCTTATTGCAATAAATTTCAGTCTTCAAATAAAAAGACAGGTTTCTCAATATCCATTTGTTGATTCCATAGGGAAGGAGAGTAAACTTTCCTTTCAGCACCTCAAAATTGCCGGTTATAATTCTCTTCTGGAAAGTATCATTCAGAAAGCCATAATTTTCAGGATGTTAAATATGTCTTAAAGTCCTGGGTCAGCCAAGAAAAACTTTCACTTTAAAAAACTTTCTCCTCTTCCTCCTGCACATTCTTACCCAGCTGCCGGCTTCTTTGTGGCGGCCATTACGGACCGCCGCTGCACCGTCTTGAGAAAAGGGGGTTTTGCCGGCCGGGGAGGGGGTCTGCAACACCCCCAAACCCCTCTCCGGATCCCCCCTATCTTCAGCCGCCCCTGCAGGGCATCCTTAGCCTCCAAACCCGTCCGGATCGGAGGCACCAAAACGGCTAGCGCCGCAGGGATCGCGCAGTATCGCGAATCCCTGCCGCTAGCGAAGCCGACCCCTTCTCTCTCTAATTTTCCCTTCTGTAATTTTCTTTTCTGCTTCTCCTTACTGTTATGCTTCTTAGTCAAACTATTTTTCTTTTTGTCTGTTCTTTTTAATCTCAAACTTTTAACTCCATTTCCCCCTTTTTCCCCTTTTTCCCTCACATTGCATTGTTTGATCATTGAAAATGGCTTCTTCTTTGTCCCGCCCTTCTTCTTGCTCCTTTTGCTTTTCATAGTTCAGGATCTCCATTTCCAAAAATTGAAATATGAAGCCAAAGGATCCTCTTCCCTCTTCTGCATCTTCTTTCTGTTTTTTAAAACTCATTTTTAATTCCTCCAGGAGTGATACCATTTTAAACACTTTTAAACAACCACCCGATTGACTTTAAGTAAAAAAAAAAAAAAGAAAAGCCAATGCCAAAAACTTTTTTTTAAAAATCACCAAATAATCCCAAACTGTTCCTTCTTGTTTCTTTCTTTTACTTTTCCTTTCCGTGAGTTACTGTATCTTTAAGTAAGGTTTCAATTACAATGTATCCTTGGGAGTCTTTTCAAAGTTTCACTGTTAATCCCCCTTTTTTTTCCAGGTGGCACTCTGTTATTTCATTATTCCAAGTTCCACCCTTTTCCCTCCACTCTTCTCCTTTTTTGGGCTTTAAAATGACCAAAAAAAAAAAAATCTTTATTCTCCTTTTAACACTTAGATTCCAGCTTAAAGTTGTCTATTAATGTCAAAGTAGAGTAGCACAAATTTCTTATTTAAATCTTCTTTTTAACATTCCATGCCATAATTGTCAATATAAAAATAGGAAAAGGGGTTTTTAACCTCCTTTTCTTTCTCCTTTGCCGCTTAAAAAGCTTCTTTCAGAAGTATCCCTCTAAGATTCAGGGTACCTTGCTTAGATGTTCTCTGTATTTAGCCCGGTCTGTCCTGCTTTCCTCTTTGTATTCCTCCTGCACAATCTTATCCAGTCGGGTTCTTCTTTGAGATGGCCATTTCTGACCACTGCTGCAACCGCCTTCGGGAAAGGGAGTTTAGACCAGCCAAGGAGGAGAGATGCAGCTCCCCTCCACTCGGCTAGCAATCTCCCCTCTCTTCACCACCTCTACGGGGTGCATCAGCCCCAGATCCAAAGGATCGGGGCGCTCCAGTGGTGAGCACGGATCAAAACCGCGCATGATTTCGGATTTTTGGTCCATCACTGAAAAAACCCAAACCAGAAGTCACAAAAGTTACTCTTTTGACCGTCCTTTTTCCCCCAAGATCATTACTTTGGGGATAACTTTTAGGTAGAAATCAAGCTTAATCTCACCTAGTCACACACTGTTCTTCTACTCACTCCTGCTCTATCTTCGTTGCTTCGGCTCTCCCAGCTGGGTGGCTGCCATGATGGCCGCCACTGCTCCATGCCTTCGGGTTAGAGGGTTTTTTCTGCATCACGCAGGAAAATTGCTGCTCTCCGCAACCTCCAGAGCAACCCTCTTTCCTTCACCTCCCCTCCAGGATGGTTTCAGCCCTGTTCAGAGCCCTCCGATGGGAGTATTCAGCGCAGGATCACGGAGCTGTGATTCCTGCCACTGATACTGCTGTGACGTCAACCAGAAGTTCTCTAGGAGAGCCTCATCTTTTGTGTAGCTTTATTAAACTATACTGTCTCCAGTTCATTCAATGTTCATTTATTACAGTTACTCACACAAATGAGTTCCAAGTACACTCATGTGAGGCCCCTTGATCATTAGCATTAGTAAAGTAGCATTAGAAACAGTATTAAAACACATACACACACACACACATACAAACACGCACATTCTTTTCTTGAAGTAAAAATAAGATGAACACCTTATAGATGAGCATGTATAACTAGCAGTTCTGTCAGTTTCAGAAATGGAAGATCCTGATGAATTAAATGAGTCCAAAAATATTGAAGAAGAAAACACTGAAGTTGAAGATGATTAAGAAGCTAAATGCAAAATGATTCTTTAATGTGTAATGAAAGTTATATTGCTTCATTAGTGAGTGTAGAAAAACTGTATGTTGTACTTCAAGAAATATAATGTAAAGAAGAAATACTGTTTTACTTTATCAAATTTCATTTGCAATTTAAAGTTATTTTGATATTTACTGATGCATCTCCTCAAAACTTTTGAATTTTGACTTCCATTGAGTTAAGCATTCAATTAGAATGTTAGTCCTAATTTTTACTGAATTGTATTTCCAATTTTTATATCAAACAAAACTATAAAGCTGGCAAAATGTGAATATGCAAAAATAAAAGAAAATGTGCCTAACATAAACATCTTAAATTATACGACTTGAATGAACTGTGTAAAATATATTTGATATGAATTGAGATATGAGGAGGACACAACTGAATTTGATTTTAAGGCAAACCATGACCAGTCGTAACAATCAAACACCAGTGGCCTAGCTTAATTTGCAAACAAGATTTAGGCTTTATCTATCTGGTTTTTTTCTCCTAGAATAAGAAAGATAAGAACAAATTATGATTTTGTTCTCTGGTTTCTTCTTAAGTGAATGGAGCCTGAGTCCTGGGAGTGCATATCACATTAACATTGGCTGCCTAAACTAGGGATGATTTAATTGTTTCCTGCGTAGAATAGAATTTGGTTTAGATATTCTGTAAGGTCCCTTCCAATTCAAGTATTCTGTGATTTTATTGCTTTGGATAATCCAATATCTGCACCTCTATTTCTCACTAAGCTAACCTTATGGATTTGTTTGATGTGTGAATGCAATTTGTGTTCGTTCTGTTAAATAAAGTAAAGATGGCAGCACTTATGTATGCATTTATGGGCTTATGCTGAAATACTTCTCCTTGGAATGTTTCTCAATATATTCCTGCAGACATTAGAACAACACTATGGAATCTGTGGCCATCCAGATGTTGATGGACAGTAGATATAGTAAATGAGACTCCTGGGATTTATAGTACTACAATATCTATAAAGTCGTAACTAACATTCCTGTGTGCATGTAATTTTGGTGTGTTACCACACAAATTGAAAAGCATCCTTTTGTCCATGGTTATTTAAGTGAGTAGGATAGTGATGCAAGATAAATTGTGAGAAAATGTGGCCGAAGATATACAGTTCAGATGTATATTTGGTTTTCTTTTCTTTGATATGGACTATAATTTTTCTTTTTTTAGAAGGCATTTTGTACATAGAGAAAATGTACACTTGTGCATGGTTGCACAGGGATCCATAAAATAAGATAACTCTTCAGTTGGAATAGTACTAAATCAAGTATCTTACTGAAAAAGCAAGAACAGCAAAACACGTTAGCTTCTTATTTATTTTTATTCTACAGCTTGTGATACTTCATCAGTAATGGTTTATTTTAAGTAGAGATTCAATGTGTGCAGAGTGAATAAAATTAATAATTTATCCTGTATACAATTGAAAGCATTCCTGAATGAATTGATTCCTACAACTTAACAATAATAGATTTAGTGCCGGAAATACTGCTTTTTCATTCTGTATGTAATGGAGTATGTAGCTATATAAAAATATAAGCCTTTTTTCTTTTATTATGTGTGTTAAATATATTAGCTTTATCCAAATTCATGTGGTAAAGGAGTCAGAATATTTGGATTAACAAGCTTAGGCCTATTTTATTGTAATAACATAAAGTGAAAAGTAATGTTCTAAGCTGGAAAAGGCTTATAAATTCAAGGTGTGTTAAAAGTGTTTGAAGGTGTGTTAATTTCAAAACTACCCTGCTATGGGCAGGCTTCTATTCCATCTGCAATGCTATCTAAAATCAATTTCACCTCCAATCTAGCCTGTACCTCTTCAGCATTCCAAGTGAAGACTGCAGACTTTTCCAATCTGACTGTCAGCCTCTGTTCTATAATGTTGTATTTAAACCTAATAAAATACTAAGATACTATGGCTTTGGGATTTTTTTTCCATAACAGTAATTAGCTATTTCCTATATTTGAAATGTCTTAATATGCTGTAATTCAGTGAACATAGAAACATTATGTGGTTGGAGATAATTATTACAGTGCAAGCAATGTATCAATGAAGGCTTTCCAGGCTAATAGGGCACATTCTAATTATTTGATATCATGTTGTTTTGTCAGCAACCGTGGCTGAGACCTACAGACGTGAAAGTGATCTGCTCTGTAGTGTACTACTTAGCAGTTCACAGGCAACTGAGCCAGAACGGACTGACCTGTTGTGTTTCTAACTGAATTAATTTCTAATTAGCCCGCATCATTGGAATTCTGGAAAGCTAGTTTCTGACTGGTTCTTCATCCAGGTGAATTTGGAAGAAATTCCAAAGGCTAATTTTTTAGTTTCTGTCTTTGAATCTTGCTGATGTCTATTATTTTTCAGTGACTGCTGAATGACAATGATTCAAGTGAGATTGCTATATGGTGTTTGTTAATTAAGGGCTGTTTTATTTTAGCATGACATGAAGTTGAACACAAAACATTTGTTAATGTTCAGACTGTATTTCTTCTTGTTAGTTTATAAATCTCAATAGCTTTTGTTTGGAGTTGTGCATGCTGATTTGATATGATTGCTAGTACTTGTCTGTCTTTAAACTGATTTTGTGCCCATTATGTAGCAGTGTTCAGTTACTTTGGGCTTTTCAGGTTGCTCTAACCATATTACAAAGCTTTTACCTCTGAAGATGCCAGCCACAGTTGCTGGGCAAAAACGTCAGGATACCATATGATTAGAACGTGTCTGATACTCTAGAAGTTGGAGGATCAAAGTAACGGACAGAAAAATACTGAAGTCTACATAATTAATTTGCAAAATTAAGTTGCAAAAATCTGTAAAACTGAAAATTCTTTACCATTTTCAGCTGTTATATTCTTTGTCATCTCTGCCATTCAGTTTCTCCTTCTCAATGTAATTGCAAAGTAGTTTATGGGATGGTTGTCCCAAAGGTGTTTTTCCAAGAGATAACTGAATTTTCTTGATCCCTGCCCCCGAAATATTTTGCTTCTCATCCAAGAAGTTTCTTCTATTCAGCTGAAAAACTAAACTGAAGAAGCTTCTTGGATGAAAAGCAAAATATCTTCAAAGAAAAAAAAAACCCAAGAAAGTCCAGTTGCCTTTTTGAAAAGCATCTTTTGAAAAACCAATACCTGGATGATTGAAAATCTTCATAGACATTTATGGGATGGTGTTTATCAGTTACTTACTGGTGCCATTGCTTTATATGTATTTACTGTTCTATAAATATCAGTATTTTATATTTTGACTTTAACTGCTTTAACTTAATCCAGTTTGGAATGAATTAAAATACTGTAAAATATTTCTTAAAAAAAGAAAAGAAAATCTGTATGTTTATGGATGAAAGAATACACACTAGCTTTATGGATTGTTTCCCACTAGCCAAGCCAAGCATCCTCATACCAGACCTTTTCCACTGAGCTATCTTCCGAATATATTTATGAGGTTTGGAGAAAGGAGAGTGAGGAAATAGGTATTACAACATCTGTATTTGAAACCATTTCTATAATGTTGCGTGTGTGTGTATGTGTGTAAACATTTAATGGCTACATATAACTCAGTAGGAAGGCTGCATTTTAAACCATATCTGCTAGAAATAAAAAACAGAGTTGGAAGGGATTTTGGAGGTCTTCTAGTCCAACCTCTGCCCAAGGCACGAGTTGATATATGAAATATTCAGTTTTGTAATAATATTAGAAAATCCTTGCTGAGTGCTTGTAACATAACCTTGAGAGCTTTAAAAATAAAATTCAGATCCAGCTTTTTTTTTTTTAAAAAAAAGAGATTGTAATGAAGCAAACCATGTAATTTTCCTTTTAAGACATTAATGACACACGCTTTCTCTTGCTTTCTGTCACCATAGTAGCGCTGTGTTTCTCAGCAACCAGTAAATGCTTATTCTCACATTCTAGAAAAGCAGAAGGTGAATTTGCTGGAAATAAAGAGTGCCAGATCAAAGGCACTCTTCAATTATTCAGAATAGTTATTATAAATTAATGTACTTGGGTTTTTTATGGTAGTGAGGAGGGCCTAATGGCTAGAGTTAAATAGGGTATTATTATGATGTACTATTTTGAAACAGAGAGCTTTTCTTGAGATGCCCTAATATAATTTGATTCCCTTCCCAGTTCTGGAGATCTTCAATAGCTTCTTAGCATAGAGATAAAGGCTTTCATTTAAGAAAAATATATGTATTAAGGCTTGTGCCAGTAAAAGAAAAGTATATGCTTGAAATGGCATAATGCAGTTTTTCATTTTTGATATGTGATTTGTCTTAGGCACAATAGCAATGCTGTCTTCCCTAGTCCCTGACCTAAACATCTTAAAGGAACTGAAATATACTGAATGAGCGATTTTTGGAAAAGAGTGTGCCTTGCACTAGAAATAAGTGTATAAAGATTTATAGTTAAGAATCTCATATAATTGATTACTAAGCTTTCCTAATAGTATTTATCAATACTGGGAGTAAATTATGCATGCAATTATTATGCAATCTGTATCAAGCTGTTCTACTTTACATTTTGTTGCTATTGCTTAGGAGTTATTAGTTTATAGATTACAATAAGTCTGCTTGCCCTAATTTTAAAACATTACAATGAAATTATTGACTGATATTATTAAAATTATTATCTAATTATTAAATGGATCTTGAAATATCATCCTATTAGGAGAGCTGCAATTAGTTTAGAGAGAGCAACAAACACATCAGAAAATGCATGCTTATGCATACTTCCTGTTCCCTGCCCCAGCATAACCATATAAGTGCAGCATACAATTGTTGTGAATTGCTATACATTCATACAGCCATGCAAACACCAGCAAATTTCATAACAAAATCTTATCTTACTGAGTCATGAATTTAACTTGATATATAAAAGGTTCCATGTGCATGAATGTCCATACATTGACAAAACACAAGCCCAGAAGCCCACCATAATAGAAATGCTCACATATATTTATTTTATTCATCAATCTACCTATGTATTTTTAAAATAGTTGTATGATACACCATGCAATTTCAGGGCAGCTAACAGCATAAAACAATAAAAGCCTCGCAAGCAAAGATAGCAGCTCAAGCTTTCAAATAAATACATGTGAGCATTTCTATTACG